TTCTTCTCTGTACTCTGTCATCTACAACTCTCAGATTCTATTCAGGACGAGTTGGCTCCGTTAAAACCTGTTCATCACCTTTACCTTCCATGTTAGCACTTAGCTGAGAAAAAGGAGAACGGAGTGTTGTGTTCCCATCTTACTAGCCGTCAGTGAGCACTGGCTCCTCAACTCTTTCCATCCATGCTCTGCCAGTCCTTGTAGAGCTCCAGTTTCCTCTGCTACAGATACTTCCAGTCACATAACAGAGCCAATGTAGTTGGGTCAAACCAAGCTGACCTCTAGGGAGCCTCTAATGCCAGATCTACTAGCCCAGTGAATTCTGCCCGACCAGTCGCACAGTATCTTCTTCATTGATTCTTAAGCTGAAGAACTTAATGTGTTGGATGAGCAGAGAGATGCTTACCATCGAGTCAGGATTAGGCAGGAGGATACAAAATCTTTAACACCAAAGGACAATGTGAGTGTCCTGTTAATCCATTCAGTCTCATTAATGCCCCTGTTGTCCCACACAGGCTGAAAAAATACATATTTGTCTACACTGATAAAAATGTTTGTATTTTTTTTCTAAGCACATGCAGGATCATTTACAATATCAAGTGTTACACAGGCGAAAGGTTTGAGGTCTTTGGTTTTTCATCACAGATTTGGTTTAGATTGCAGAACTTGTCTCGGTTCAGGACAACCTGGCTCAGTTATTTTTACTCTAGCTGCAGGCTCAGTACTCTTATTTTGAAAGGTTCTAATCACAGAGTAACAATCCGCCAATCAGAGCCCTCCCCCCTGTCTCTGTTTCCTCTGCAGTAACTGTATTTATCTTCTGCAGTCCTCTGTCCTACTTCCTATAAATATTTGTTCACTGAACTTCTTACTAAGTTTGTTTCACTTCATTTCATGTTGAGTTTTAATGCACTCAGGATTTTAGCTGTTGTGGAATTTCGATGAATTTAAAACCCTCGCTGTCTCATTTACACCTCCACCAGGGATTAGCAGTTATACATAAAACATGTGTTAAGTGTTCTCTGATATCTGCTGGTAATTTGAATTAATTGAATCAGTGGTTAAGCTCCACTCTGCTGCCAACCAGGGAAAATAATTGACTTATCTTTTGAAGTCATGCCAGTCATTAAGCTTCAGTATGACAGAAACTGAATTAGTAAATTCAGAATTTATGAAGAAAACCGTCTTTCTGCTCAATATGTGTTTTTGCATCAAATTATTTCCTTTTTCTCCACAATCACAGTGACAGAATCAAATTTGTACATTTAAACTAAATATCTGATGTAATGACTTTGATCCACAGTTCAAACGTTAAACTGGATTCATCAGTAAACTAAAATAAATAATAAGTATCAATAATCTATAATCAACTAACTGTCATGTCCATCAGGAACCTGTAAGAGAAGGGGCAGAGTTTCATAACTCGTCACAGCTCTGCCCTCCAATCAGTCTGTGGGTGGAGCAAGTGTTTGAATTATACGGTAGATCATCACTGATGAGCTTGGTCTCCTCCTGAAATGTCGACGTGTTAACATTAATGGGTGGCTGTGGCTCAGAGGTAGAGTGGGTCGTCCACTAATGGGAAGGTTGTTGGTTTGATCCCCAGCTCCTGCACACATCAAAGTGTCCTTGAGCAAGATACTCAACCCCAAATTGCAATCCTTGCTCCCGATGCTGTGGATGTGTATGAATGTGTTAGTTTCTGTTCGATGGGCTTTGCCATCACTGAGTGAATGTGTGCGAATACAGGACCATTTTACAGTTAATCACATGATCAATAATGTCAATATTAGCTCAGCATGTGTCTGTGTCTTTGCACAGAAACAATTATAATATCAGCTGAAACAAACACACGCATACACCTTCCTCGTCAAGACAAGAGACGAAGGAGACAGTGTGTGTGTGTGTGTGTGTGTGTGTGTGTGTTTATTGATGACTCTGGACGAGCTGACACACTAACAGAGAATATATAGTTGTCATTATCTCACTAATGGATGTTTGGCTGTGATCAACACACACACACACACACACACACACAAACACACACTCACTCACACACACACACACACACACACACACACACACACACACAGTAGATGAGCTGTTTCCTGTATGAGACAGTGTTCAGTCTCACAGTACTGGAGGTATTTAATGTAGTAATACTGCAGTATTATGTGTAGTACTGACTGTTAGCTAAGGTTAGCTACGAGCTGCAGTTCACCTCCTTTAAAATTAAAACACACTTGGACCTGCCACATTGAATGTATACATACCATAAATATACACATACATACTTAACATATACATACATAGACAGACATACATACATACATACATGCATATACACATACATATACATACATATACTCATACATATACATATACATATACATACATTCATACATATACATACATATACATACATTCATACATATACACATACATATACATACATACATACACACATACATACATACATACATACATACAACACACATACATGCATATACACATACATATACATACATATACTCATACATACATAAACATACATCTACATATACATATACATACATTCATACATTCATACATATACATACATATACATACATTCATACATATACACATACATATACATACATACATACATACATACATACACACATACACACATACATACATACGCATTTTAATAGACCCTAAACCTAAACTAAATTATAATTCATTTGAAAGCCTTGTTATTAGTCTTTCTCACCCAAACTGGAAAACACTGCAGCCGGTTCTACCAGTGTAAAGCGCTCCTGGCCCGTACTCTGATTTTATATCTGGATTCTCAGAGTTTTTATCAAGTTTACTCCTCAAATCAGATAAAGTAATTATTGAAGGTGATTTTAATATTCATTAAATTCATCATGGATGTTAACAATGGCAGCCTTAGTAATGCATTTATCTCATTAAAAGACTCAATGGCTTCTGTCAGAGTGTAAATAAACCAACTCATTGTTTTAATCACACTCTTGACCTTGTTCTATCATATGGCATTGATATTGAACACACATATAAATACATACATATACATATACACATACATACATTTACATACATTCATACATACATACCCACATATACATACATACATACATACATACATATACATATATGTAATATATATCTATGTCAATCAATCAATTAGTCTATCAGTCAATAAGACTGTCAATCAGTCAGTCTATCAATCACTCTATCAATCAATCAATCAGCCTGTCAATCAGTCAGTCTATCAGTCTGTCAATCAGTCAGTTTGTCAGTCAATCAGTCTTAGTTGTTTATATTTTTAATATATTTAATTTTACTATATTCAATTATATTATACTATGGTTTATTATATTATATTTTATTATAGTATATATTGTATTTAATTATGTTGTACTATATTATATTATATTATATTATATTATATTATATTATACTATAATATATTGTATTATATTATATTGTACTGTATTCAGTCCCTCTAGAAAAACGCGATTATGCGATAGCATAATTCAATGCATAATTAGCCAAAGTCCATATTCATGCGGGGGCCGGATTTTTTCAAATATGCCGCACTTTTGCCGCATAAATTGCCGATTTCAGTGCAAAATATGCGGGGCTTGCATGATTTCATATTCCCCGCTTTTTCGTTGCAAAAAAGTTACATTCATCTTAGCAGAAAGTTGAAAAATGTTGCGTTTACTTCACACAAGAGCAGCCATTTTCCCCTGTTGCCATGGGAACA